GAGGGAGGGAGGGGGTGTAGGGGAAAGTGCGAATACCACCCCACTCCACTCGCTCCCCTTTCCTCGGGGAAGCATCTGGAAACGAACAGCCCTAGGAAAGTACTAATATACCAATCAGAAGCAACTGGAGGGTGGGGGGGTGCTCGCAAAAAGTATAAAAACTGAATAGGGAGAAACGACCCTCCAAAAGAATCATATGTGGCGGAAATTATATTATGTGAAATTTCAAAATGTTACGGATGGGAAGAGGCCGGGATGCGGGATTGTGAGGCGGATTACTCTGGAAAGCTTTTGAGTTTAACCCTCCTCTCTCCAGCGTGTGGTGCAGTCCCTTTCGAGGGCCAAAGGGAGGCGGAATGTACTAAATTAAATTTGGAGGGGGTCAGTTGAAGGAACAAAGCCTTTAAATTGAGAGAGATGACACCTAAAGCAGACAAAGGCTGTTGAAAGCGGGTATAATTATTAACAAAGATGTTGTTGATGGAGAGAAGTGGGTCACTGAGGCAGGCAGCGCGGGTTTTTGTGGAGCGACTTTCGAGCGATCCCCCTCTTTTCGAGTGTGTCCCGTTCGGGTAAAGGAGGCAGAATGTACCACTTTAAAGGGAGAGAGTGGTTGGTTGAAGGAATTAGGGCCTTAAATTGAGAGAGAGACGACACTGTAAACTAACCAAAGGCAGTTAAAAGCGGATGTAAATAAATATAAAGGTGCTGCTAACGGAGAGGCGCGTTATTGTGGAGCGATATTATAGAGACCCCCTCTTCTCCGTCGTATGTGGTGCAGTCCTGTAGGGGACAGAAGGGGATAGATGTACCAATTTAAAGGAGGAGGTTCACTAATGGAATATAGGCTTTAAGTTAAGAGCGATTGCAATCAAAAAGGGACAAGGGAGGTTGAAATAGTTCATAATTATTTACAAAGATGTTGTTGATGGAGAAAGGCGGGTTATTGAGCTGGGCATCGTGGGGCGAATTTGGAGCGATCCCCCTCGTCTCTGGTGTATGTGGTGCAGTCCAGCTTCTGTCCACAACGGAAACTGGAACATACCACTGCGATGAGAGAGGGGGTGTAAGAAAGCGATTAAACAGCTTAGTGGAAAGCACAGGCCCTCCAGAAGGGACAGGGGCGGCTGAAATGAGACTGTGCAGCGTATAGCCTTATTGTGGATGGTTAGGAGCGGGTATCCAGGTGGTGGGGCGGGTTCCTGTTGAGGGTCGTTGGGGCGGACACCCCCCCCCACCTCCGTGGCCGACTGTGTTGGTATCGGGGGGAAAGCGGACGGGGCGGCAGTTGGTACAGTCCGGTGAAGATGGCGGCGGTGACGGGAGGAATCTCAGTGCCGGGGCCTGGCCGCTTCTACTCGGTGCCCGGCTCCGAGCTGCCGGGGGTGGTCAGCCACACGCTGTGAGTGCCCCCCCAGTTCCCTCTCATCCCCCGGGGGTGGGGGAGGTGGTGAAGAATGACCGTCTGCAGCAACAATCGTTATCTGCTGTGTCATGGCGTATCCCCATTTACCCCCGACTTGACCATCACTGGGGA